CGAAAAAGAAATTTCTAAACTTTATTATTGTAAAAAAAAATTTTTAAAAAAACGTTATTAATTAGCATAAAAAATTTAGTTTGAAGGTTAAACTTATAAATATCTCAAAACACGTTGTCTCCGATTTTGACAAAATCTGTGTCAAAAGAAAGCTTAAATATTCTATTTTTTATTTCCGTAAAGTTTATAATGGACATTTTCGAGGATTTCGAGAAATTAATTAAAATTCTCAGACGTTTCAAAGGTTAAAAAGGGTTGAAATTTGCATGAATAGAGAACCTCTGTTCAAATACAGCGGCATTTGTTTTTACGAAATTTTTAAATAAATAAATTTTAAAACTTCAATTTTAATCTTAATAATTTTTTTAAATTTGAAAAATTTTTAATTGCAAATAGCTAAAGATCAATATATTTATTGTTTACAATATTTTTTTTCTCTAATGTCAAGTGATGTAATAATGTAAGCACAGAAAATTATAAGGTATTAAAATAAGCTGCAACGCTCATTATTTTAATCCAATTTTGCTTATTTTAATATCAAAATGGATTAAAATAAGCAAAATTAGATTAAAATAATAAGCGTTGCAGCTTATTTTAATGACTTTTAATTTTCTGTGAGGTTAGTGGAAATTAAATTTAAAAAACAAAATCCGCTCTTAAAGAAATGGTTCTCCATTCATACAAATTTCAATCCTTTTTAACCTCCGAAACGTCTGAGAATTTTAATTAATTTCTGGAAATTCTCGAAAATGTCCATTATAAACTTTAGGGAAATAAAAAATAGAATATTTAAGCTTTCTTTTGACATAGATTTTGTCAAAATCGGAGACAACGTGTTTTGAGATATTTACAAGTTTAACCTTCAAACTAAATTTTTTATACTATTTAAATGTTTTTTTGAAAAATTTTTTTTACAATTGTAAAGTTTAGAAATTTCTCTTTCGAAACCACTCATTGCAAAAGTAATTTGATTTAATTAAATGGGAGAAATAATTATTTAAAAAATGTCTTATATTGTCAATTGTTTACTAGGGGTATAATTTTAAAATAGAATGCCCCATATATATATGCAAAATTTAACGTTAACTCGCGGCAAAATCTTTTTGTAGGTTATGTTCGGACATTTGAAATTTTGGTCAATATGAAAAATCTCACGAGATTTATATTAATGGATTCTGTGTTTATATTTTAGATTAGATGTTTTAATTAAATTAAAATCATGAAATAATGAAATTTCACATTTGCAGCAGAAGTTGGACATATGGTATTTCGAAAGCCGTATAGTAGTTGGACATGATAAGACCCAATAGTTGGACATTGAATAGGTAAATTAAATAATAATTTATTTATTTAGTTATTTTGATTATTTAATAAATTAAATAATTTAACTAAAACACAATAAAAGTAATTATATTAATTAAATTAATTAAACTGATTGAGTTAATTGAATTAAATCTTTGTCCAACTATTTTGGGTGCAACATTCTCTCTAAATCTGAATTAGTAAAAATGTTTACTAATTTAAATTAGTGACTCACTTTTTGCTTTAGAATTAGTTAAATGTTACTAATTGTTAGTAAAAGTTACTAATAATGAGTAAAATTTTACTAATTCAGAAGCAAAAAGTGAGTCACTAATTCAAATTAGTAAACATTTTTACTAATTCAGATTTAGAGAGTATATAAAGCGTTAACTTGGACAGTCAATTCAGACAGAATTGGACAGCGATTTTTGAGAAATTGTTTTATATATTTTTTTACTCCTACAATTAATAAATTTTATTTTGCCTAAAGGCTAATTATCTAAGGAGTATCTCAAATTTTTTTTCTTAATTTGAGGGCTATTTTAATTTATTTTTTATACTGTCCATCTACTGGTTCCAATTTTTACTTTATCCAGGTACTGGTGCTTTTACCTTATAGTTAATCTACAAAATTTTTCTTTAATGAAAAATTTTATGTTTACCTTTCTTAAAAATGGAGAATTTTTTTTTCTGTTTTTGATGTATATGACAAGTGGTATAATTAAATCTGAAACTTAATTAAGAGATAATGAAGTTTGTAGTCAATCGATTCCGGTTGGTAAATTGCGAAGAGCCCTTAAGGCTCTCTCTCTCTCTCTTGTACATATATGTATATGTATATGTGTTTGTATGTGTGATGAGAATATCGAATCGACCGAATCGAAGCAAACAATCTGCGGACTGGCTCGTGATTACTTAAGCTGTCGACTGCAGAGAAGTGAGCTCCAACCGGAAAATGATTGATACTGCCGACTGGGCATGATTAGTTTATTAATCGCTCTTGCTTGACCAAACCTAGGGTGGTAAAAGGGGGGTGAGAGGGAGGGGGAAGTCCGAAAAACACAGGTTTTCCCAACCCAATATACACTGCCCATAGCAGACCTTTTACCATTTTTCCGCATATAAAAGAAAAAAAAAAAAAAAAGAAATGAAAAATTTGATTCCATTCAAGCGGGAAATTAAAAATAAACACAAATTCTATTTTTCACAGTAAATTTTTCTTTTTTTTTCATATCTTTATGTGTTTTTAACTTTTAACTATGTGCCTTTAAAAACTATTTCAAAAACAAATTTTTGTAATATTTTTTTACCTATTCTCGACTTTAAATTATAAAAGAATAGTAATTTGTAAAAAAGAAAAAAGATTTTTATATGAAAATTTTTTCTTCATAAGATTCTCGAGGGAAATTAATAATATATATATAGAGAGGATATAATTTTTCTCATCAGGAAAAAAAAATATTCGCCAAGAAAAATCACAGTTTCAATTCATATGGGATTGTTTGATTGTTAATAGTTTGAGGCGACAGATGTGTTCTGTATTTTTTTTTTTTTTTTGTTAAATGGATCTCACGCTTTTATTATTATTTTCTATATACATATGTTTTCTTTTTTTTGTCAACGAGGAATTGACTTGTAAGTTAATAAATGATTTTTGCCTTGGACGCAAGGGATTTTTCCCTTTTTTTTTTTTTTGACATATTCGTTTAAAGTGGGAAAATAAATTGTTCGCAATAATGGGGAAAAAAAAGAAAGTTTTTACAAAATCCACATATAAATTTAAAAAGAAATTAAGTATTTTTATTTTTAAAAAATATTTTTAATTGAAAGTGAATTTATTTATTTATTTTTTTTTCAATGACATTCTCTCAAAAAGGATTTCCATTAATTTGGCGAAGCTTTTCGAAACTGATTTTTCAAGATGTTATTTTTTTTTATAAAAAAAAAGAAAGGGTATTACTGTGCGCTATTAAATTAGAACAAGATTTCTCAGCATAATAAGGTATACTATTTTCTTGCTGTATGTTGGTTGAATATAGTCGACAAAATGGTTAAAGCGCGCGCGAAGGTCCTTTCATCTCACTACAAATGTACCAAAGTGGAAACAAGGGAAACGAAACGATTGGATAAATAATGAAGCAAATGCAAATGCACTCTGCCCGATTGAATCTATATATATATATATATAGAGAGGGAGAGAGGGAGAGAGAGAAAGAGGAAAGATTGGTACCACTGGTTACCGTCTGCACTTGTGTCGCGCAAGTATTTCCCCCGTGAGTGTGCACTTAGGATTTAAATAAGCCCGCTAAAAGTGGGATAATTGAAATGGCAAGGCTGAAAGTGTTCCGTACTGTGATTTCCGAAGGTGGTGGGTTGAATGAAATCCCGTGAACGTTAATGTCTTTCTCACTCCTGAATTCACTAATTTCACTTGAAAATATATAAATTCAAACCATCTCCTTTATTTATACAGGGACGGCTCTAAAAAGAAGCGGGCGCCAAATTTTGAAAACAAAATTCAGTAAAAAATGATTTTTCTAATTTATCAAAAATTTGCATTATGTAAATGAATAAGTTTTCTCCTAATCGATCAAAATTTTTTTTAAAAATCATGGATTATGCATATTCCTGTAATGGCTAAAATATAAAAACATTAATTAGCCTATTTCTCACTCTATATATTAAAAATAATTTTCGTTCGATTTTATGTTTAAGGCAACAGATTTGCTGACTATGTGCATAACAAAATGAAGGTTGAACGAGGCTTTTGGCACTATTGTGCCTTTGGCTTTATGCCAATACCTTTCATTCAATAAATATCATCTTAATGAACTCATGTATATTTGATTGGGAGCTCCCCTTCGTTCCATCCCGCTGCATTTCAGCCTATTCATTCCCCCTTTTACCCCCCCCCATTTATTTCTAGGTTTCTCTCTCTTTTTTTCTCTCTAGTTAGAGAGAAAAATTATTTCATCTCTTTCTCTGCTTTCAGTCGATCGTCTCTCTCTCTCTCTCTCTCTCTCTCTCTCTCTCTCTCTCTCTCTCTCTCTCTCTCTCTCTCTCTCTCTCTCTCTCTCTCTCTCTCTCTCTCTCTCTCTCTCTCTCTCTCTCTCTCTCTCTCTCTCTCTCTCTCTCTCTCTCTCTCTCTCTCTTTTTCTCTCAAACTGATGTCGGTCGTCGCTCTGACAACATAAGAGCTTCACGCACGACTGTACAACTCTGCAAGACGGTTTCATTTCCGTTAGAGCTTTTCTATGTATGAATGGTCACATGATTCCATTACCGTTAACGAATAAGCGTCGTCGCTTCTTGAAAAGAAGAAGAAAAAATTCAGAAGGCTCCGGTAAAGCAAAGGATGTTTTCATGAGACGATCCATTCCAATCAACATTGAATAGTGATATTGATTTAAAAAAAAAAAAAAAGAAAAGGAAAACAGATCGACAAAAGCACAGCAAAATTGTGCACAAATCAACAAATTTTTGATAAGTAGACTTTCTGACTTTTTTTTTCCTATCAAATCACAGCGCGAATATTAAGTAAAAATAATTTAACTCTACATAAAAAAAATTACTTCATTATATCTAATTAAAATTTTTAGTTGTAAAAGAAAAACAAAGTATTTTCTAAAATTCATTCTTTTATTTTCTAAAAAAAATATTAAAGGAACCAGGGATTAATAAATAAATGTGAGAGTAAATAGTTTTTCATTTTCTAAAAACTTGTATTCTTTTTTATTTTTTAATTAATAAATCGTGTGTCGTGTGCGTGTGTCGTGTATTGGTGTCGTACTATTTTACAAGAGCCTAAAAATTATAGGCATTGAAGTTGAGATAAATCAAATAACAAATTAACTAAACGCGAACACATTCACGCTGTTCGCTTTCAACGTTCAGGCCAATCACTACAGACGAAGGAAAAAAAAATGTTTCTTTCTTTTTTTCCACAAAAAAAAAAAAAAAAAAAACATTTATTTAAATAATTTTTTTCTCATTTAAAAAATAATACTAATACTGCATATAATAATAATATTAATAATAATAAAAATAATATTAATACAAATAATTTAAAAGATATAGATAATATTTCCTTATTTAAAAAAAGTACTATTGTTTCTTTCTTTTCTAAACGTGACAATTTTTTTCTAAAACTTTAAATCTGTAGTAATTTGGTCCGTACGAATTTAAAAAAACCATTTTTTTTTTTTTAATGGGCAAATATATCTCAATTTATGAAAATAAATTTTTGATTTTAAAAAAGGCTGTAGAATTTTTTCTTTAGGATAAATCATTGTTGTAGTCTTATTATATTTTCGAAATTGAAATAAATTTGCTCGTTATTGGTTTTTTTTTCGCTCAACATCATCATCATTAATACAGTAAATAACCATTTTTATCACACAAATTTTTTTTTAACAATATACAAAATGTTTATGTACAAGTTTAAATTACATCATTTTTTTTTTTTATTCGATCTTCTCTTTTCTCATTAGTCTGCACAGAGATCGACGGGATTTATTTTTTGTGAATAAAAAATTTCAAATTATTCATAATGTCAGGAAAAAAAGTGAATTAAATTTGTTTTCTTCACGAAAAAAGTTATAGTCGCCGAAGATCTCTGCTACCTTTTTGCAAATATTTCCCCATGATCTTTCTTTTTTTTTTTACATACATTTTTTTAAAAATAAAGTTCGAAATAGTAGGAGGAGGATGAAAAAAAAGTCAGAAAAGTTTTAAATTAAGGCCAAATTTTCGAAATCCTTTATTTAAATTCGATTCGTTGAAATTTAAAAAGGGAATGGCACTGTGTCATTTATTTGGATTGAGATTGGCTTTGGATTTTCTGACTTTTTTTTTATTTATTTATTTTTAATGCGGCTTTGACGTAAATATTTGTAAGTCAAAATTTATATAATTGTAGCATCTGTAAAATGTTAATTATTTCAAAAGTATACATAAATGAAAAAAGTAATTTTTAAATTAAATAGTTCAAGTCGGTTTATGCGCGCGCCGTTTGATAAGAGTGGGGGTTGGTTCGTTGCGCGCGCACTGCGCATTGTGGGGAGTGCACAGTGTTTAGATATCCCCATTCTTTGTACGCCACATCCGCAAGAAAATAATTATTTGCAATTTTTTTTTTTTTTTTTTAAATATATAAATTAAAAATTGTCTACTTTTTCTATACAAAAAAATTTACCTCAAAGCCACAAAAATGATACACGTAGAGAATATTCTTGGAATGGAAATTCACTATAGAACGGAACATCGTTTTTTTTTTTTGTATGATACAGTTTACATTCAAGTTTTTTTTTTGTAATTGAGCTTCGAAGTACTCAGGACCCTTATCATATATGATAAAATTGAAAAAATAAATTCAAACTCTGTGCAAGTTTATAAAAAAATTTCTCCTAATTAAAATTTAATCAAAAATGGTAATGGCCTCGAGCGTGGTAGATATATCGTGACGTTTTTTTTCTGTCATAAGATTATACATTTATATTACATTTATTGCAGATGCTTTTTTTGAAACCCTGTTTTTTGTAAGAATCTGTCACCCTTTTTTTTTTTGACGTCGTCTACAAAAGAATTCTCTTCCGGAAATTTGCTCCGAATTGTAAATGAATTTATTGAGAAGAGGCGCATAGAAGGTTTGAAAAAAAAATTAATTTCACAAAATTAAGAAATGACAATTTCTTCGTTTGAGAATTTTAAAGCGGAAGGTGAACCGATATATATATAGAAACTTAGAGGAAGGAGAGAGAGAGAGAAATAAAAAAGGGGGGGACTATTAATGGTAGCGTGATGCGGAAACAAGGGACGCTTAACGAACTTAGGCGTCCTGGTCGCTCGACGAGGCGAAAGGCCCGATAATTTTGAAAGAAAAATAATTTTCTAAGAGTCGATTTTGGTTTTGTTTTCTCTTTCTCCTTCTTCTTTTTTTCCCCTCCGCCGAACCTTCTTTCCCCTCACATACATTTTAAATTACAATTCTATTCCCTCGTTAACAACTTTGTCGATTCAAGATTATATATCATTCAAAGATTCTTTCGAGAATAATAATGTCTTTCCTTTTGCGTTAAAAAGAAAAAAAAATATCAATTGTACCTAAAATTTTACATATGAGCTTCAGTTTTTTTTTTGACAATTGAGCAAATACTTTTTTTTAGTTTCTATTCGATAAAATCAATTTTTGAAAATTCGATGATAATAATATACAATTTTTCTCATTTTACAGGATCGGCTTCAAATGAAATGGCGTCTGGGGAAAAAATTATAAAAAAGAAAAGTTGCATTTCCTAATGTATCAAAACTTTCCATAAAATATAGTAGTGGATAAGCATTGGCAAAATATGTTTATTCCTAATCGAATTAAAATTTCCATAAACTATAAAAGTTGTTATAGGCATTAACAGTATGTCTTTTTTAAAATTATTTTTACTCAATCTTATCGCCTTTCTTGAAGTTGATCCTTATTGAAGAATTTCTTGAATTTTAAAAAACTAGAATGATTTCAAAAAAAAATTTACAATCATCACCAGAGCTTAATTTCCCCGTGGACAAACATCAAATGTCACACATGCCTCTCTCTCTCTATCGCAAGGGTCGATAATAATCAGGAGCATCTTTTTTTTTTCGATTCATGAATGGCAAGAATGTCTTGTCTAAGCGACTTCCTGGAGAATTTTTTCTTTTTACTATTAAGAGTCTCTTTCTCTAAATAAAAAAAAATACGAATGTCACCACTAATTCTCACCTTCCCCATTCCTTAAAAAAAAAACCGGGCACTATATTTTCCCCCACAATTGTTGTAATCACTCTCGATTGCCTATTAAAACAGGTACTTTTGATAATTTTTTTTTTTTATTTTTCGGTGCGCGAACCAGCACGAAACCATTTTCTTCTTTAATTTTTGTCTCGAAACACCATTATTTCACATATAGTCAATTTTAGTTTCAAATCACAGACATTGATTTTGAAAATTGGCGATCATTTTATTAATATTTGGTGATGGAGATTTTTGTTGTCTTGCAACTATTGAATGTGTGTGTGTGTGAAAATGTGGCGTTTCTCAGTCGCACGAATCGGGCGGCCATGACCAATCCTGATAGGCTGATGGATGTTGATGAGAGTGACCAGGTATTCCAGAAGGTATGAGGCCCATTTGATGGGGATTATGATGTGGATGTGGTGGATGATGAGAATGATGTGGATGGAAGTGTTGTTGATGACCCGGTGGTGGCGGCGAATAGGGATCGGCTCCAACACCAACGTCCACGAGATCAATCTGCGGCTGCATTACCGTGACAACGGGCGTCGGCTGTGGAGTCGGTTGAACCTTTTTCGGGCGACCGACCGGGTTGCCCCCTCATTCGCGACTCCTTCGAGGCCTTCCAACTTTGCCTTTTCGTACGGGAACACCACCATTTCCAGCGGCCGCCGCTGTCACTGGCATTGATGATGATTTTGCTATTTTTTGATAGTCCGGCTCACAAACCAATGTTCCCGAGATGAAATAATACCTGAAATTTCAATATAAATACTCTTTAGTTTTTTTTTTTAAATTTTTTTTAAAATTTTATGTTATCAGAAAATAAAAAATGTTCATTTCGTTTTTTCATTTCTTTCTGCTGCAATCAGAAGATCAACAAAGATCACGATACATAACCTCTAAAATCATTGCTTTCAATTGTACTTTTTCTATTTATCTATTAAAGATTCTAATTTCTTATTAATTAAAATTATTTTTGTTACAGAATGAAGCACGAATGTAAAAGAAGAAAAAAGTAAGTTTCTGAATTTAGCAATATAATATTAAATATAATATGCTCACCTATCTCCAACTTGAAGTGGGGCACAACATTTGCTACATTGGAAACATTTTAAATGAAATGAAGCCCCTATTGTTTTGTGCACGTAATCCGTTGATGGTATTATTTGACCACAACCTGCACATGGTGTAGTAGGACCAAATAACCTGCAACATCAAATAAAAAATAATCGTTAATAATATTTTAATTTAGAAATTGTCAATTTGAAAAAAATCTTTTTCTCTAGAAAATTTTTTTATTTTTTTTTTATTAAAACATTTTCGGTATTTGCCTTTTTTTTGACAATGTAATACCTTAAAAATCGAATCAATTTTTAATTATTGGAAATTTAAAAGAGACGAGAAAAAAATTATAATATTTTGTTTCCTTTTTTTTTTTTTATCACAACGGTATAATAAGTAAATCGAAACTATTGAGAATGATTTCGAGCCGCGCAGGCATGTCCTGATATCATCTCAATAAAGGCGACCAATCGAAACACATTGGCAAATGTAAGAGATGACATTCTCTCTCTCTCAGCCTCGTTCACGAGCTTTAAGAGGCGATAAATATGACGCGTTTCCAATTAAATCTCACGTCAGGCAAACACTTTCTAAGTAAATGAGCTCTGCTTTAAGCACTCATTGGATGATGGCTTTCAGAAATCTTTTTTTTATTCTTTCAATTCGGTTTTTATTTGTTTTTTATTTTTTTTATCAAATATCACCTTTTTTCTCTTCCCGTTTCAAAGAGTCTAAACGAGCACAACGATATAATAAGGTGTTGTAAATGTGCCTTTTAATTGGCTTGGTCAGATAATTTCTTTCTGAGAATGTACACTATAAACATCCTGCTTATCAAATTATAAAAAAAAAACCTATTTTAACAAACACGACTATTTATTTACGCGCATTAAATTATTAATTGCAAATTCAGATGAATTGAAAAAAGTAAAAAGGCTCTTTAAGATAGTAATTGGTTAAAATTTTATTCAAATTATTATTTTATAGTTAATTAATAAATGCGGCTTTTTTTTATTAACTCACAATCCTTGATTTACTCAATCACAATATTTCTTCCAAGGCAATCAAAAAAAAAAAAAAAAAAAATCAGCCGAAAAAAATAAAACGTATACTGGAATTTTATAGCAGCCATAACAATCTTATATATAGAGAGAGAGAATAAATCCTTACACCATCAAAGCTATAAATGCCGAGACGAATGAACAATTCACGTCGATTTAAATGTGAATACATCGATAATGATGATGCGTCGTTTTTCTCGTGTAAAAAATCAACGTTAGAGGGAAAAAATTGATAAAGAATGAAGTAAATTTAAAAATATAATTTTAAAAATTTAGTTTACTTTTTAAACCAAAAAAAAAAAAAAATTGAATACATTTATAAAAGTTAATAATTAGGGAAGGGAGAAAAACAAAAATATATAGGAAGGAATTGAACCGTCATTCGGCGAGCAATCATCGACCTGCCCAACGCGTTCGCTCGGCCAGAGATCCCGGACAGATAAATTAGCAATTTAATTATAGAACTGTCAAGCGGTAATTAAATTAATAACGAGAAACCTCGAATCCAATCCGATCCGTCGTGGCAACCTTTCGAGTTCCACTCTCGCATGCAACACCCACATCGATTCCTATATCCTTGTGGTTATGATGGTATAGAGTATGTACAGCTGAGTCTATAAGTTTTTACCTTCGATTTTGTATTTTTTTTATTTTTTTTTTCACTTGCTTTCTTAACAAATTACTTTCGTTTAGAGAAATTTCCCCATAAGAAAAAAAAAAAGAAAATTATTTCTAATATGTAATAAACTTTCAAGAATTCATTTTACCAAATTGAAAATAAGTCACATATTGACTAATTGGAATGTATACATTTTTTTTTTTTTGTGGAGAAGTTAATTTTTTGTCATGAAAACATTATGTTTACGTGCAACGTTAAAATGTCCCAAGTAGAAATGTGCCACTGGCATAGTACTGACCCAACACTGCCAGTCAGTATAACAGTACTGACTGCCGTACTGGGCCAGTAGTGGACCAACCCTGGCTGGTAACGCTGTCCAGTACTGATTTTGTCCCGCTCACCAGTACTAACGTAGTACTAGAATAATACTGGCATAATACTGGCAAAGTACTCATCCGGACTTAAAATCTCACTTTTTTACAAAATGCTAAAACACGCTTTCCAATGCAAATTTCATCCTTATTAGCTTATTACTCCCATTTTTACCACGAACAGGTAATGTGAAGCCAATAATAGTTAATGTTATTTAGAATATATAAAATATTATTAACAATAAATAATTAAAATAATAATTATCATTTATATTAATTAAATTATTTTATTTTTAATAAATTATTTTACAAAAAATAATTTGTGTTGTAAATTTTCTTATTTTTTTAAATTCATAATATTTAATTTTTTTTACTTTGCACTTATACTTAATTTAATAATTATTTAATAATTGATATTACACATGAACAAATATTGTACTTATAACACTTAAAACTAAGAACGAAAAATCTCGCACGCATGGGGGATCGAACCCTAAACCCTTAGAACGCAAGTCAGATACGCATACCGCACAGCCGCGCTGGCTTGAAGTGCTGACTTGAAGTAGTTCACCTAATACAAAAGTTTTGATTTCAAAGTTTGTATTATCTATTGATCACGAAAATAAAATGAATTTATTCTTAAATTTTTTAAACTCATAAAATTTTTTCAATTTTTACAAAGATTTAAGGAAATAAAACTGGATATCAATTTCAGTTAAATATTTTTAATAAATTATTTTTACCGTAAATAATATTAAAACAGACAAAAATGATTGATGAATTACATAATTAAAAATAAGTTAATAAAAGACGACTGTAAAATATGAATGGTGAAAATTTTTTTTAATTTAATATTTAATTATTAATAATATTTAAAAATTACAGTGAAAAAATTACATTTGCTTTATTTTTAAAACTATTAGAAAAAAATTCTCAACTTATTGTTATTGTATGCATGATAAATAACTTAATGCACATATTTCAATGAGTACTAAAATAACTAAAAAAACATAAATATATTTTATATAGGTATATAATAATACATTACAATTACATCCAAAATTTTGAGGGAAAGTATTCGAAAGAAATTAATATACATTTTTTAAAATAAAAAATCATCGTTTTCTACCTATTGAAATAATTTAAAGACTTTTTCATTTAATGTTTTTTATCACCGACATAGTACTGATTCGGTGTGAATGACAGTGTACTGCCAGTACTGGTTTTAATATTTTTTTACCTCCGACATAGTACTGATTCGGTGTATTAGTCAGTACACTGCCAGTACTGAAAGTCAATACCGACAGCCAGTATTGGATCAGTACCATGCCGGTGTTTAATTACGGCGAGCTACGGATATTTCTACTTGGGGTCTTTCAAAATATATATAATATAATTCCCAATCAACGATCTTAGAAAGTAATTATTCTGAACTTTCCTTGAACTTCCCATTACGGTTATGCTGGTAATTTATGAGTGGTGCTTCAAGTTTAATGAAGATAACTAATTAATACTTTAAGTTAACCCTCCTTATTCTCAATAATTAAGTAAACTAAGCACAACAAACTGATCAAGAATTTTTTCTTCCTATCCCCCAAAGAGAAGAGAATCTGCGGTCAAGATCAGTTAATGTGAAAAATTTTCAAGAATTTTTTTTTACAATTACACGGAGAAAAAGAAAAAGTAATTTTTACTACTTTCAGAGTAAAACTAGACCAACTCGAAGTTTCTGCGCATCTCTGGCAATTTTTACTCCAAAAATAGTAAAATTTATTATTTCTATAGTAAATTTGACTGTTTTCATAGTAAGTTTTACTATTTCTAGAGTAAATTTTACTATTTTTGGAGTAAAAATTGCCAGAGATGCGCAGAAACTTTGAGTTGGTCCAGTTTTACTCTGAAAGTAGTAAAAGTTACTTTATAAAAGAAATCTTTTTTCACCGTGTAGAATATTAGTAATGATCAGAAGGACTCGACAAAAATAATTAATATTGATTTTAATTATTAATCAATTTTATTATTATAATATTAAACTATAATAAAATATGATTGAATTTTTTCCAATTAATAAAATTTTAAATCGAGAAATAAAATTGACAGTATCTACTAACTGTTTCATTGAAGGAAAATAAATGGAAATGACACAAAAATGAAATATAAATAATAGAATGTAATTAAGGGCATAAAAATTCAACAAAAATAGAAACACGTTACACATTAAAATGTGTATTCATGCGAGGAGGGAGCGAATTGAGCATCAGCTGGTAGAAGCGGAAGTGAGAATGACAGAAATGCATCCGGTGACAAGAAAAGGACTATATCGACTCGTTACTTGGATTTCTCTCTTTTCTAAATTCCTTAATTGCTCAATAAATGACAGAATTGTCGCCTTCCGTGGACTTTAGACCACGCTGCATCTCATACAATATACGTTATGTGGCATAAATAGAAAGCATTGGCGAATTACGAATCAAAAGTCTCTCTCTCTCTCTCTCTCTCTCTCTCTCTCTCTCTCTCTCTCTCTCTCTCTCTCTCTCTCTCTCTCTCTCTCTCTCTCTCTCTCTCTCTCTCTCTCTCTCTCTCTCTCTCTCTCTCTCTCAATATACACATATATGCGATTCATATTTGTGTTTGTAATATGGATGGCTCACATGGATATCGTACATAGCTAATTGGTGCATAAACATTGAGTTTTACGAGCCATAGGTATACGTATTCGCTACCTTCGCAAACATTGACTGCCATTTAACGTGGATCAACTCGTGTGAGTGTGTGTAAACAAAAACAGTTTCTTTCACATTATTATAAATAAATTCTTTTGTATCACTAACTTTCATGCACTTGTCATTCATTGATATTGATATTTTTAGGGTTCCGTACTCGGTACGGAACCCTATTAATATCGGTTTTTTTGAAATCGTGTACCCCCCCCCCTCCCTAGCGGCCACACAAATTTATCTGGAGGGCTGAAAATAAGTACACTTATGTATTTTCGCGTGTAGATTACAGGAAAAATATAGCGAACTTGATTGGAATTGATTAACATAGCGTTGTCAAGGAAAAACCATGAATTTTTACGAAAAATGCCTAAAAAT